CGCAAGCAGCGTGTAAGACTGTGCCGGGTATCACTTGTCAGTGAGGAAGGAAACATCGCCACCTCCCGTAAAATAACACAAATTGATATTGGTATTGTGGTGAGTTTTCGTTGGCATTTACAATGAAATAATTATATGAGTCGTCATTGCCTACAGTATTGTTTATTACAATAGCAGTTTTCGATGGCAGAGCCATCATCGTCATCATCATCATCAGTTTTCTGCTGTATGGAAGCCACAATAATGACGACTCATATAAATATTTCATTATTTCAACACTTATGGAACTAATGGCTTCAGTTCTGTACGTTCCCAGAATCATCTCAAACACACTAATACACAGGTGTTCTCTCAAAAGCGCCAGCAAAAAGCTAGAAAACTTGGAAGTAGAGACTATTTTGACCTGCCGAGGAGCATAATACCGAATACCAGTATTGAATGCTCCTCATTTCCCTAGAATTTCATTGCAGGAGAGGGGATTCTTTTCAAACACGCGGGCAAAACCTCATGGGTGGACTGAGGGTTCGAGTCCCTAGTGGAATCGTACGCCGGAACCTAGAATCTCCAGAGGAAAACAAAATAATTCGCATTATTGAATTTTGTCCGTATGCAAGGAAAGGGATGAAACTAAAAAAATCGTCAATTTTTAGTTAAATGTAAGAATTTGTTTTGAAATTGTATATTTTTATTAGTGAGCATTTCATGAAGATAATTATCAAGAAAATGTACACACCTAAATATTTTCTTTGGTTGCGAAATAAGAAACTTATCTAAAATTAAAACGTTTTCATTGAACAAAATAAGTCTTGTCATTTTTCTTGCACCCCTAGCGATAACACATTTTAACAGAGTACCATGTGAATAGGAATGGTTCATGATTCAGAGTACTCTAAAATAATGTATTGTTCGCATGGTTGCGCAATGTATAGTCGTGCATAGCTAAAATGGTCACATTGAAGACAAGCGTTCTTCACGTTTCATGTGGTTTAAATGTGATCGCAGAAGAAGAGATTTTTTGCTGGCACTTGGGAAACCATTTCATGTCGAGGAGTTTCAGCAACATTGGAACGTCAGTATTTCGAAACTAAAGGAGAAAAGGAACATCATCGAATCAATGAATTGTTGGACTTACTAAGGATAAATTTACCAAATACCACGCGTTAACGAAACGTTTACGTTAAAACTCTAAATGTAATGTCATAAGAGTGATCAAGCCTTTTGCCTGAGTCACGCAGAGATACAATGATGACATCTGTCATTTGACATAAGTATTTGCTTACTACGAATATAACATACGTAAATGACTTTCTCAAAGGAAAATTTAAAAATGAAAAATGTTGTGTAAAAACAATAATCCTGTAAAAAACGAAATACCAAATTTGTATTTTCATAAAATCGCACAGTTGTTTTCACACGTTGTGGTGTTCATAAATATTAAGTTCGAAGACAATAAATATTATCTGAAAGGAAAATTATTACGTTTTCTTTAATTTCCATCTTTAAATTTCGTGATGTGTAAATAACATATTTCCAGGATGATTAAAGCGCGATTTTAATTGCAATTTAAAACTCAATTTTAATTTTTCTTTGGTTGAAGGGGTGTTTATTTCTGCCGAGGTGAAACAATTGCTTTAACAATATTGAAAAGAATAAATTGCAACATAATGACAAAAATTATTGGGTAGAATTTTTTCTCCAAAACACCCCCAGAATAGCTGAGAAATTTATATATTTTCATTAACTAGTAAGTAAAACTCAGCATTCACCATGTTTGAAATTCACTCCGTTCTATCAATAATTTTATCCAATTGATACTCTGATGTCGTGATTGATGACTGAAAGTTGCCAAAACTATTTGGTCATTATCATTAGCCAGTTGTTATCTGCAGGACTTTGATCGTGATTTCAAAATCACGCCCAAAAAATAAATAACAATTGTGAACAATAGATTGTATATGATACAGTGATACTGATATAGTGTGGATTGAGATGTCTTCTTAAATTAATACAAGTCTGCAAAATGGGAGTAAGTGTTAGTAATGGTAGTATAATTAGAAACTGTATTTTTTTAGTAAACAGGGAAACCATTTCTTCAAAATTTTGTTTAACTCGTATGAAGAACTAAAAACAACTAGTTTTTGCCTTCTTCTGTGTAGCTTTTGGAAATCTATAATTACCGCTCGCAGCTCGCTTTTGAATCTGAATGCACAGGGGCAGGCCACGAGCAGTACAAAAACGGATGCTATACCTAACACGGAAATCGGATGTTGCTCCCTTCACTGCGTTCCCAATGGGCAGTGAAATAGTAAGTTACAAGAGTGCGCCCTCTGGATGATATTCTCACGCCCCTTCCCGGAATTAATGAGCTAAATGTGTAAACTACCAAGTGCCTCGTGTTTGCCAACACGAAAGGAAGTAATTTGTAGAAGCATGCGCCTAATCCGGTTCTTTATAACCTCGCCAAGATTCGAAACTACTTTCATTACAACTAATCGCATAGTTTACGAAGACTCATCGGTCAAGAGGGGTTGAACTGTGATGTTAACAGATCCTTGGCTAATCCGAGAAAGGATGGGAAAAGCCGGGGGCCAGGATTTAGGGTATGTGCCCGCTCACCGTCCTTAAAAGAGTTCACGTAGTTGAGAGATCAAATAGTGTCCTGGGAAAATTGCGAGACGATGGAGACCCGCCATCTGAGGTATTAAACATCCTGCGAAGCTATAAGTAAACGTTTTTATTTGACTTTATTAGTATAGCTTTATTAGTTGTATCAGATTTCTTACTCTGTCGGGTTCTGTGTACTTCTCGCGCGTACATACACGCACACACACGCACACACACACGCGCACACACGCACGCACGCACTCACGCGCACACATACACACATACATACACACACACACGCACGCACGCGCGCCTCTTCACATACACATCACATAACTTGTACACAGCCACATTTAGTACATTATATTTAAGAGAACTATTTTACACTCAGTGAACCTTGTTTTTGTAAGATTTTGGTTGACAGTATTGCATTTGGAAAGGATTCTTTTACGATACACTATGATCCAACGTACAGTTAGGATTAAAACTAAACCTTACCTACTATAACGTTAATTTAACTAACTGTAAGTTTATTTATAATACATTAAAAAATGAACCTGAAATTAAGACATGAAAATATACTCTCTGACGTATAAAAATTTTAAAAAATGCACTAGATTTCCTGAGAATGTCTGTCTACTTTGTGCTAGACTCTTGTGACGTACAAACTAAACTGTTGTTTCTAAGTTTTCCAGCGAAACTTTTACTAACTCTTGGAATCACAAGTACACGCCCCGGCACGCGCTTTCACACGCTTGTTTGTGCTTAAATTCTTAGAACTTGTATACGTAGAATTAAGGTTGGGACATAAATAACCACAAATTTACAGCAGTTAAAATCCCTAGTAGATCAGAATAATGAAATTATTTTTTTTATTCCAGTATTATAAACGTTCTGTTGCAAGAATTCGTTCATTATCGGGCATTTTACGGCACAAATGATAACATACTCATATTAGATCTTACGGCACGAATGATTGCGTCATCACACATTCAGCCAATCGCAGCGTGAGAACGGTGGGGACGTAAAGGTATTTTAGGCTCGGAACAGCCGACCACCGTTTTCTCATATATATGTCAAATATCCAATAAGTCACAAGCAAGTTGATTCGCAAAATTAATTTTAATTCTCTTATAAACTTATGATGCTGTTATACGGAAAACTAGTGAATGCAACTCGTTTATAATGTTGCTTTATTGCATTGGTTCGAATTTGAAAACTCGCTTTTATCGTCACTCGTTTTGAAAACGTGTACTTATGGAATAAAACTTAACACCATGAACTAATTATATAAACTGCTATTAGTCTACTTTTCTAGGTAAAATGCTGTAATTGACGTAAATATGCTTGACAACACTGTACATTTACTTTTAGGTCTTAGTTCGCATGCCTATAACCATAAATAATAATAGCTCAACAGGACTAACAACACAAGTTTCCTCCCTTACGAATCTTCACTTCTCGGAATCCGCCTCTCGTGGGAAGTCGCGGTATTGACCACAAACCGCGCGTTGATTTATAGGCGAAGTTCGTCGCTGCATTGCGTGCGCGAGAACGGCCTCCACGCGCCAGCAAACAAGGAAGAAGAATCGCCCAGTGTTGACTCTTAAGGGCCATTCGGGGGCGAAGCGGGGGGAAGCCCATGTGGGCCATGCATCGCCACGTTTGTATCTAGTGATTATTCTCGAAACTTACCTTCTAGTACAGCGCAACTTTGAAATATAGAACTTCGATACCGCGAATTCAGACTCGCGATTATCCGAGGCAATTGAGAGAGAGAGTATTTCAGATGCGAAAAAATCGGATAATTCGGAGTTCTGCTGTTCCGGATCGGATTTGGTAATTGATTGTGAAGAACGAAGTAACATTTAAATTTATAGTTCAGTATTCCTATATATACATGATCATCATTGGAATATTAATAAGAAATAATTCTTCTGGAAGGAGTAAGAAAGATAAAATATAACCAAGGTGATTGTTCTGTCCAGTCTTTATTTCATTTGAATGTGTATTACTTTGTGTAGATGTTCAAAGGAAAATTGATGGATCTTTGTGTAACAAAGGTATAATGCAATCTTGCAAAAAATGATAGCAGGAAAAGAACTTTGCTCTTGACGCTCATATAATATGTGTCAAGTATATATCGAAAATAATTAAATCTTATAAAATATGATAAGCGGATCAGACCGCTTGTCCGTTGATGGAAGATGTTCAGATATTCCAAGTGTCTCACGGTGATTCTGATATTGATTACCACATATGAACACCTGTTCGTTCAGTGAACTTTTTAACACGTTTTACAACTTTTCTGGCTGACGTCAGTGTATGCCATTTCATTCTCAAGTGTGTGAGAAATAATTCATCAAACACTTTCAAGAACACGCGAAATGGTAATAATGGATGGTAAATGGCGAATGGATAGTAAAGATGTCTTGTTTTCTTTCTTCATTCTTTCGTAATAAAATTCCATTAATGCTTTAAATTTAAAATTTTTAGTTAAAAATTGAATTTAGAGGACATCCTCGTTTACTTTTCAATTTTTCCCTCAGAAATGAGATATCTTGTACAATTGACGGGCCAGTTGTAGACGATTATTATTTATTATTTTTATCTGTTTTAATTTAATTATTACTGATAATAATGAATTTATATGACTGAATCCGTTTGAAGGGCTTTTTTATTTAGGCAGACATTTAATCACATAATAAACTTTTATTTAAAATCAAACAACCTTTATACCTACGTTTCGAGGGTAATTGGCCTTCATCTTCAGGGTCTATTAAATACAAGGGAATGCAATATTAATGAAATAATTTAATAATAATATACAATTTTTGTTATTTTTTAGTAAATAGAAGTCATTTGTTTTGTTAATTATTGCTGTTATTTCTGGAAAGGATTGTTTGTCAGACCTTTAATGCTCAATAGGGAACTGCTAACGAAAAGTATATTGTGCTTTATTTATTTCGCGTTCCACAATGTAACATAAATAAACATTATTCAAAAGAAAGCGGTCACGTTTCTGTAATCATCAAATTTGTTTATTTCCCTCTACTACAACTGGGGATTTCACTGCTACCCATACTCCCAGGTTATTGTAGGTTAAAATACGACTCCTACAAAACCATCTGGTTTCCGTAATACATACTACGAAAATGTGAATGAAATAGAATGTCATATATTGTAATTGTTCACTAATAATTTTTACATCATATCTGTAATAAATCATTTATTCTTGTTAAATTTATTTATAATATTTGTTTACATTTTCTGGACATTTTGTATTATATATTATTTATTTTTTATTTTCAGAAAATAGACGTTTCCTCGGCTTGGCTGGAAACGTAAGTATATAGTTTGTTTAATTTATATCTTTAGTGTAAAATAGGTATTTAAATAACGTATTACTACTCACCTACATGCCACTACCTTTTTAAATAACTACTTTCATTTCATTTTATTCGGCATCAATGTCTCATTTGGTTCCATTCTAAATGCTGTGTGTTATCGCCCTAGAATATCGCATAAAATTGTAATTTTATCCTGTAATATTCACTGATGACGAACTGCATAATGTCTGCGTTTAGCGTTATCAAAAGTTATATCATCTCGTACACATAATTTAAACTTCGAAGATTGAATTACTATCAAATTAGTCTCCAGGTTATTAGGCGAAAAGCTGTGAAAGACATAATGTCGAATTCTCCCTTCCTGACAGTCAGCAATGTTCTGTCAGTCGAACACCCTGTTATTGCATGCCTCTATAAATGCCGTTACTGCTCAAGGATTCGAACCTAAAATTCGCTGTCTACGTTGTGCTTCAAAATTTCAGGTTTATGGCTCATTTTAAGCACTAGAATTTCACTACATATCTCAACCGATAGTCCCATAACTCAAGTCGGGTCCTACCCTGACGCCTACGTACTAGCAATGGGTTTTCCTGTATTACATGGTTTTGCTTGGAGGATTAGCCGTTCAATGGCCTGTGGCGCGGTTGTCACAGTGGAACCGATTTTGGCCGAAGTATCGGTCGGCCGACGTCAGAAGTTTGCGTCCGATGTTCTAGATTCCCTCTAACAAGGACGTGAACGGAAACGGACACTGTGAAACCGAATGACCTCTCCTGACTGCGCCCTCAAAAACATCTGTCGGCAGAAGATGTGTCGTTTGGTTTTGTCCGTCCGACATCGTCCGATCGGAATTTCGGCGAAAATCGGTTCGACTGTGACCGCTGCATGGATAGAATAGGAATGCTCGCACTCGAGTCGTGGGTGGCCCGTTTTATTTTTCAGATATTTCAGCGACGTCGTCCTACAAATGATACAAGGAAAGAATCTAGACAGTTGGCTTCTCAAATTATCATCCACGGCAGTGGTAATTAGCTAGTCCCGTCTATTTAGTGGAATTCAAACCTAGCACCTCCCGGTGAACAGAGCTGCAGTAGCGGACTCAAAAGTTCTACATGACCCTAGGAAAGTACGGAAACTAACGACAAGTTGAGTCATCGACCTCCAGGGAGTAGCGTCATCTGTTTCAACAAGTTCGTGAAAAACCTTTACTTCCCGTACTGAAAACCTATCAACCCATCTTCAGAATCTGACATCTTTGAGACGTATGACATTATCATACGTATCCTTTGGTCTTACAACCCACATCTACCAAAAGCTCACCACTAAGCGTAAACTCTTTTCAGACACACACTCACTTGTTTTGAGGGACCGGGAATCCGTACATACAGAATTTACGAGCTGTGAACGTTTCCATTTTCTGCGAATCCGGGTCCGCTAATTAAACTGCGGCCAAGTCGGGCAGAGTTTACATGCGGCGCGGACAATAGACGCGGCTGCGCGCGTCGCGCCACAAAAGGCCGTCGGATTCCACCC